TAAAGAAGAATTATACCATCACCTAGTGATATTGTCTTCTTGGGTTTGTCAAAACTTTATGAACTTCTAATTAAAGACAATAAATATGAGAAAAAACCCTATTTATATTTGATAAAAATGAAGGCAAACCAAAACATAAGATAAAATCAGTTGCTAAATTAAAATTAAGCAAGGAAATAACTGACAATCAATTTTCTGAATACATTTTTGAATATATAAATTTAAAGTTGATTTTCTGCTCTATCCAAGATAAAATGATTTAATGTTAAAACTGAAAAGGAATTTTGAAAAATGTAAATTAAAATGACCTTTTATTCGAAAAAAAATTATCGAATCGTCAATTTTCTTAAGTATTCCAAAATATTTCCATTTATTTCTTATTTGTATGTACGGAGGAGAAAGCTTTCAAACAATGATGCAAAGGAAAACACCAAAGTCATATTACATGTATTAGTCATGTTGATTTTGAAGCATAGGTATTATTATACATGTATGTATATACGTTTCGCTCTTTAAAAATCAAGATACATTGTATTATTGAGTAGCAATGCATGCACACGCTTACATGCACAGGAGTGTCGTTTTTCATTACACAGATACATGTTTATATATTTCTATTTTTTATCGTTACTTAGTCACGAATAGCAGCATCCACGGCCCATATATCCATATATTTTCAATATATATAATGTATTTAAAATTGATTATAATTTGATATTTTATTATTCACATTTAGTAAAGGATTCTAAATATGCTAATAATAAATATCAAGTCACCGTTTTTAATTAAATTTGAGCTTGTCCACGAACTTTACGGACAACCTTCGTATGTAGAAAGTTTATTGTACTTTAAAGAGGCTGGAGGGTGGCAGCCATTTTCAGACTATTGCGATCTCCTTTAAAAGAAGAGCTCCATGTAAAGATATACAAAAATGATCAAATTTTTAAACTAAAGAGTATGATTTTTTTCTTTGGCAAATGATAGTTGACAGCTTAAGATACCGTGCCTAAAAAAATAATTAAATCTGGTTAATTTGTGTTTAATTTTATTGACCTCCCAGCCTCCTTAAAGACGGCTTTAAAAGTGTCATTACGTCGTGCAAATTGATAAATATGAAAATCATATATAATGCAATGACAAAATAAGAAGTGTTATCCGGTATAATACATGCGGACGATAGAAATCTTAAAATATTTCCCAACAAAGAAATGAGAGGGGGGTGTATACTGCACTAGATGAACAATTGTGTCGTACTCCTTCGTCCTCCCTTTTCAGAATTCGTCGATTCTAAAATTGGTATGTAATCGTCATTAAAAAAGCTTGGACACTTCCTGGAATGTAATACTTATATTTAATAAAAATTGACCTTTGGACCCATAGAGGGCTTATAATTGTCAAGAGGCACAGCATTCTCTAACTAGCTAGGGAAACATTGAAAGGGAATCGAGGGGGGACCGTGAGGTTTGTAGCTCTCAGCATCATGTTTTTATTTTGGCTCAATAAAGACACGATAGAAATTAGGTAAATTTCTTAAAACTAAAATGTAATTAATTTAATTTCTTAAAACTGAAACGAAAAGTTTGAAAATTTCTTTAGGGTGTATATAGTCAATATTATTCTTGCAGGTTATTTGGTATTCCCTACATAGTCAGATATAGTAGTGGATCTGCATGATTTAATGTTATGTGGCATGGTCATCTAGGTATTGTTTAAAAACACGTGACTTTGTTATCTAAGTTACAAGCGAGTGCTTGAATAGTCACTCCACCGACCGTATATAACATTGGATCAGTTTGGGAATGGAAGTCAGTAAATTACAGATGCATCAATATATATTTCTATTATTATATGATTAATCATCAAATTGACAAGTAATGCTATCGGGTGTTGAATTTGAATGTTATACTAATAATATAAAATGTGATGTAATAAACGTTTTGACGAGGAGCATTCCATTGAGTTTGTTATCTGTTCAAACTTCTCGCAAACTGATAACAGCCAACAGAGTAGAAAAATAAATTGGTTCATATTTTGATTTATGTGTTTTATATTAATTGCAAGTCCTTGGTTTCTATACTAAATTTGACTATGAATATTAATATTCCGTCTAATTGATAAAAGCCTTAGGTTCATTAAAGTTACCAGTCAACAGGAGATGCTTACATGGACTACTCGTTTGTACCTTATCCCATCTCTGGATACTCGATGAATCCGTGTTTTGTGCTATGCTCACAGATTTTTATGATAGATTGTGCTGAAATCGATCATTATTTCTTATAGTTTTAGCTTACTTTCTAGTTTAAAATGATTTAGTATGAATAGTCTCCTGTTCTGCGTACCGTACATATGTATATACTCGCCTTTAAGTCGGTTGTATTTATGAGGTTATTTTGCACGGAAATGTCATTGACCCGCTTATACGTCTGTGCATCTTTTTGCCAGAATCAGATGACGATATCTATTATTACATGTAAATGCTCTGATGTTTTAACCTGATTTCAATTAATATTTTTAGAAATCGATTGATTGATTGTATGTTGTTCAACGTCCCTCTCGAGAATTTTTCACTCATATGGAGACGCCACCCCTTGCCGGTGGAGGGCTACAAATTTTGTCCTATGCTCGGCACTCAGGGCCTTTGAGCAGTGAGGGATCTTTTTCGTGCCAGCACCTACTGCGACACGGGGCCTCGGTTTATACGGTCTCACCCGAATGACCGGTCTCCACGTCCCACAATAGGATTCGAACCCGCGACGTAAGGATTGACACCTTACTTCGCTACTCTAGAGCAGACGCTCTAACCACTGCGCCACGCGGGCGACTTTTAGAAATCGATATTTAACTTTAAATCATTGACATGTATAAAATATTTAAAAAAAATGTCCTCTTAAAGGTACTTGGACACAGATTTGAAGTCATCGACACATCCTTGCACTTTCACAAATTTTAACCTTATTCTTAATCCTTAGGAAAAGTTGCAATATTGTTGTGTATTATTGAGAAATATTTAAACTTTTATCCAGAAAAATAATTTTATTCAGAGTAGAAATGTTAGAAAGCAAAACCCCTTCACAAGTATCGTCATTCCGAACTAAGAGTTGCGTATAGAGTTTAGCAAATCGAGCACAATTGTCACAGCCTGCTTACCACAACTGCACGGACTGACAATATATTGTATGTTTGTTTTGCTTTCGAACATATCTGCTCTGAATTTTCTGGATTAAAATATTAATATTTTTCATTTTTACACAACGAGATTGCCACTTTTTCTGAGGATTAAGAATTGAATTAATTTGTGAAAGAGCAGGAATGTTTCAATCAAACCCACCAAAAAAATTAAAATTTTAATATCTTTAATATGAAATAAGATTTTTAGTTAATTTTTGTGTGAAATGCTATTAAAATATATAAGTAGTAATATTATAGAGAAAATGATAACTTCAAATCTGTGTCTAAGTACCTTTAAGTTTAAAAAAAAAATAAAATTATTAAATACATGTTTTTAAATACTTATACTCTATGTGTTATATATAAATACAAAAAGATTGGTATATCGATCCATGCACACTTTGTTCAACGATTCTGTTGAAAATGGATATAAGATACCGGTAGTTCTTTTCAAGCTACATGTATTTTTCAATAACAAATATTATTATTACCGGGTACACAGTCATTTTCCAGAACGGGAACTTTTTAAATATTCTGTAAATTTCCATGAGTAATATTCACTATTACTGTCCAAATCTGATAACGATATTCCTTTGTTAAAAATTAAATGCAATCAACAGATCTGTTTTTAAATCCTCCTTTACGAATACGAACTTTAATATATTTACAAATAATCATATATATCACAGTATAAAACAAATAAATTATGACTTCTACGTTAGAGGTACTCGGCTAAAAATGCAAAGACAGTGAATAAAGAAATGTTTTATCAAATTTAAATTAACTCCATATCTAGATGTACATGTATTATGAAAGGTAAAATATATCAATAAATTTGGCCTTTGCAAATATTGACAATTACCCTAAATTAACTTTTATGAATATTAAGTTTACTTTGAATTTTCAGAGGACCAATTAATATCAGAACAGATTATTAATGTTACAGACTCTGAAAAATGCTCAACATTGATCTAGTACGAGACAATTTCAAATCCAAATGGTACAGAAGGAAAACGATGCCAAGAGAAGAAATATCTTTAAATAAATTATTTTGACCTCTTGGCTTCAATATTTTTGTAATTTTAAATTCAAAGCATTTAGAACAGTAAAATTTAAATTACGTTTACATTTGACGAAAAAACACATAATAAAGTTTTACAGGTTTTTCTCTTCATTTTACTTTATTTGGATTTGTATTCTTTGGCGGGGGTACAAAATATATCATTTTCAATATTGAAAATTAGTTCAAAGTACAGATATTTTTGTAATTTACTTAGTAATTTAAAAATGTATAAAAGTAAACAAAAATTAAATCAACATAGACTTATGTTCACAACATTAAATAAAATAAAAACTACTTTAAGCACATCTTTATATAATCATAATTATCGTACCAGCAAATTATGTTAAGCTGATGATTTACATATGTGAATAAACATTCGCTGATGATCATGTTGGTAGTTATAATGGTGAATACGTATTCAACCTATTTTCAACCACCTATCGATATATCCGACTTTTAAGAAAATTGGCTACATGTATAACAAATATATTAATTGATTTCTTTAGGTATTTTTAATGGTATTTACTGAAAACTGTATATTTCCTTCGATTGACAGGTATGCCTATATCTGCAATTAAAAACATGTCCAAAAATATATAATTCAAATTTACCTGTCCATAACATGTACCGCAATAATGACATTTTTTCAAACCCATGTATTTGCAAACCATTTACATGTACATGTATTAAGTATGAAAATTTAAAAAACCTGTTTAGTAAAGTTGACCAATCTAAGTACTGGTTGTCAAACTCTCAGACCATTATGATGAATCATTTTTGGATTATTTTTTTTAACTGTAATGTTTATATATTTCTGTCTAATTGTCCTTTTACCCATCTTTTTCTTATATCTGTAGCGTCCTTTATTCCCTGGAATGATTCCTGTCTGAGTGACTCTTCATAAGACCGTAACGCCCCGCTCAAGTCTCCTACAACATGCTGACAGATACCCAGTATCTGCCAAGATAGGTCTCTGAGTTCTAAAGGAACGTATGTCCCGTCATCATAGAGCAGCAGTGTCTGTAGGTCTGTCAGTGACTGTAAACACTGAGATCTATTACCTAGTCTATAGTGAGATAACACAGACAACATTCCTACCATAACAAAAGGTGGTATCATTAAGAGTGCGCCTCCATTATGTTGACTCACAAACTGTTCTAAATATAATTCTTCAATATATAAAATATTATTTAATACACTCACATTGTCTACCCAGGCTATCTTCATTCTTTTAGACATAGACAGATTACCTACATCTTCTTTGTACCTTTGCCTTTCAAAAATAAAAAATCCACGCATAATAAAGTCCTGTGACAATCTTTGCCTAGCGAGATAAGTGATAGGTAGTGTTTTATCATATCTCCCAGTCCTATAGTAATACAGTGCTAAATATAATAAATAAGACATGGGACCCAACTTTGCTACTAGTTTTAGCATGTTACAAATCATTCTATCTAAGATGTAAACATCTTTATGTGTGCTACTGAGAGTATTATTTGCCATTTCGAAGGCTAAATTAACGAGAGTATTGGTGGTACAGTATTGTAATACTAATGATTGGCACGTTGAGATTGATAACCGTGAGACTTCATCAATTGATATCAAATAGTGAAAACAAGCAGATAATTTTGAAGTAGTAAAGACGAGGCTGAATATTTCCCTCTGGCCACACAAATCTATGTCTGTAACAGTCTCAGAAAAGGATAACACTAAGTAGGGTCTACTGAGGGCTGATTCTAGGATTGAACTGAGAGTCGGACTCAGTAGTAAACAGGACACGCCCATTCTGTAATACTGGTAAAGCTGTTGTAATAGAGATTCACGTGTTTCGCTGTCTAGTTTGTTCATAATCATGTTGTTTTGTGGAATAAAAAAATTGGGAAACACTCCACGATAAATAGAATGAATGAGAAATTTGTAACATTTCCAAAAGCAATCCAGTAAATTGTTTGGGTGCCATGTAACGTTATCATATTGCATTATCCAGAACATTGTTGTCTTCATATAATATGAGCACAATAATGACCCTTGTTGGTCTTTCATAACTTCCTTCAGAAATATTTTCAAAAGTCCGTAACATAAAAATTGTACATGACTCATTGTACAAACTAGTTGCTGTTCGGCTTGAGAAAACGACAACCTCCATTCTAATTCGTTAGAGGTCGATACTATTTTACTTCCAACAGCCACACAGTGACATCCATTTCTCAGTATTTTTTCTAACACGGTTGCAGGTGGCCAGGCATGTCTCTGGCATCTTTCCACAAAACTTCTTAAGAATTTACTGCTACATATAGTTGCAAAACAAAGAGCACTATCGACCTCAATAAATTTAAAATAGCTAGTTGTACAAGGGCCATGAAGGGTGAAATCCGTAAGTAAGAAAGCAGACTCGTTAGACGTTTGAAATTGGAAAGAGTTTTCCATCCATACAGAACTAGATATGTAAATCCCGCCATTAAAGTGAACATGGCATGATTTTACAAGACTGTATTCTTCATGTTTGGATGTCAGAAGGCGTAGTCTGACAAATCCTGGCGGTGTGTCAGAATCTTCCATTAGTATTATATGATGTTGTGAGGTATTGTAGATCCGGAAATGAGAGATGTCAGATATTAATTTATAATTACAAATCCAGAACATTGTGTCCTTGTCCGATGATTTCATTCTAAATCCCTCTCTATAGCTCCCACTCTTCATCATAGCAATTCCTTCATGATTATAAACAGGTTTCTTTATCATCTCCTCCATGTCCAGCACGTCCCTTCTGATGGCCACTTCTGTCGGTGTCCCTATCTTACGACACAGACCAACATACAGGACCTCTGATAGACGGGGAATTTGGTCCATTCTATACAAAAAGACAGGAAAATATCTTTCATCGTGTATTTGTAGATATATTTGTCGATTCATTATATAATGTGTTTAATGTAATTCCAGTTTGCACCCAGAGTGCTATCTTAAAAGAATCTGCTCACGTATATCTTAATATATACAATGTATATACACATCAATTTTATTATAAAGATATTTTGATCCCAACACATTTCAAATAAACCTACCTAAGTAGTTTACCTGATTTAAAATTCTTTCTGCAAATGGCGGTCTGTATTGCAGCAAACTAAAATGGAAATTCCCAGCAAATCTTCTTTCTTTTTCTATTAAGGCCGTCTTTTAAAAAGACAATATATCGATCTTCCCGGCCCGATTGACTGGCGAAAATGGGCCGACTCAGGGATTTTTACCCTAAAAGATTTAAAAAACAATAAAATAAAACTAGTGAATTTATTGTAGAGAATTACATTTTAACTGTAAATGTGGATCCAAGACTGTTTTTTTTTTTTTTTTTTTTTTTTTGCTTGTCAAGAAATTTCTGGTTTGGATATTTTTTTGGACTGAGGTGGACCCCCCCCCCCCTCTCCTGGAAAAAATTTCTGGATCGGTGCCTGGTGTCATCTCTAAAAAATAATATATAGACTGATGTAGATGAGGCAATGTAGTTAAGTCTATTTACAAGATGGATTTGAGTCTTATTTAGACCAAACACCATTTTACGTTTCATTTATGTTTGCATTTTTGTCGAACTATAAACCACTTTGTGAGTTTGGTGTGTAAAATGTTGCATTATTATTGCGTTGAAAAGTGCTTTTAGTTTGAAATCCCCTCTCTATATGTACACATGTATATTAATCAGTATATGGACCATTCTACCTGGGATAATATTCTTGGGTAAAGGGGTTCATGCAGGTCTTTTCAAATGGAGGGCTAAGTCTTCGAAGTCTCTCAGGAAATTAAAAATAAATAATGCTTTTTCTTCTTAAAAATCACATGGCCAGAAAAGTTGAAAATTATATGTATTTTTTTTTAGAAGTGTGGATTCCTGAAAGTTTTTTCCGATATACTTGATCAACGGAGGAAGGGAAGGGCGTAAAAAAGGCTCAAAGTTTAACAAAGTATACATGGAAATGTAAATGTAGGAAGAGACATTTTAAAATCATCTTCAGCAGAACACGCAGGCGCTTGAGATTTTTAAGCTTTCTTTTCATATATAAAAAATCCCAATACTATATATAATTATACTGTACATAGTAAAGGAAGTTTTTTATGTATTAAAAAAGGTTATAAACCTAAAGCGCCAGTGGAGCAGGACCATGCCTATAACATATGTAAAAAAAAAATCTAGTCTGAATTGGATCTCGAACTCAAGGCCTCGATCTTGTGTAACGTGCCAGCGCTCTTACCAATTATCTGCATGGGCTATTGAGAGTGGGTCTATTGACAGACTTTCATGCAACCTGTGAATCCTATGTTATATATACAATATCTTCTCTATATATATATGGAAGCAGAAGCATTCTCATGTACATAGCCTGGAATTATCATTCAAATTCTTGGGGGGTATACTGCCCTACTGTAATAGAATGAGGCTACAATATGGGGTTGAGGATATACATGTACAGGACAGGATCAAGGACCATGATCAGTGAAATTTATATGGAAACATCCATAAGATAAGGGCAAGATGGCTTGCAGGATGCCTAATGCATATAGCTTCACATATATTACTTATAATTCAGTCTGTGAATTACGTTTATAAACATTTAGAACAACATTCTCATTTTTGAAATTTTATGAGGTTATGAGAAACAAAACTTTTCAGTGAAATATTTTTGGAATTTTTTTTATTTAAAAAAGAAAAGTTCATTCTTCGTGTAGTTCGAACCCTAGCACTATATCCTGATTATCATTTTCCTTTAACAGTTAAAGCAATATGAGCTGCATTTTTGAAATTTTATTTTGCAGGTAAAATATGCTATTTTGATTAATTTATATGTAATTTAAACCCCTATGATCAATAAGCCCAAAATAGAGTTTAAAAAATGTTTCAGAGGAAATATTTCTGAACGACTGAATATACAGTATTATATAAGAAATCATTACTGTACAGGACGACAATAATTCAATTTTGCTTCAATCAAAGCTAATAAAAAACTTTCCATCGCAAATATGAACAAAAGAAGTGTATGAATGTTTTATTTTTCTGTCATAGAAATAGTTAATAATAAATTTGCAACAAAATTTTCCAATGTCAAACATGAGGCTCATATTGCTTTAAGTATTCGGTTTATTCCCACTTAGCCAAAATTCTGAATTTCTTATTCTCATCTAGCCAAAATTGGGATTTTCACACCTGCGTGGTCACCTGTGTATAGTCTGTTTTAGTCTTATTAACTGTAATAATTACCTGTGGTGCACTGGTTCATTATTCATATAAATATGAATATTTGTTTTAGATATAAGACTTATTAATAAAGTTCTACTTTGTATCAATTAAATATTTAAAAAGAACATAAAATAATATTTGTATTTTAAAGCACAAGTTATGGCAATAGCTAGGAAAAGAGAATGGAGAATGTGTTACGGTGTAAAATACAACATTTTTGGACTTATTTTAAATTACAGTGTAAATTAACTTTTCGGACTTTCTGTAAATTGTTGTCAAAACTTTTCTTATATTTCGGCAAATGTGATCAATTATATAAATTCCGCACAGCCTTAATCTCACCTGAGGCATCGTCAGGGATTGGACAGTTAATTCTTTAATTGACATCTGTTTATATTTATTGACACTTAATCTTTCATCTTTAATTCTATTATATACATACTGCTAAAATGTCACCATTCGCTCAATAATTGTTTGATACTTGATTTCTATATATCTTTTGTTAATCCTTTTATTTTACTCCGTCTTTGTTCAGTATGTATGTTTTGTTGTGAAAAATTATAGTCAGTTGGAATCAGACCTTCAGTACTGATACATCCCAAACTCGTGTAAAAGTATATTTCTTTGCTGATTCTATATAAAAGTAGAAAATCTGTATAACTCGTGTTTGTGTCTTGAGGTTTTAAAGAATCTAGGTTCAACATAAGAGGAAAGCTCACGGTTGAACCAGAATTAGTATTGACGAACGAAAACGTTCACGTAAAAAATGTTAAGTATGATTTATTTAAATGAATTAATTAAAAAATGATTTAATAAATTGTTTTTCAACATTGATTTAATTTTTTTTTTACTAATAACTAAAAAATAAAGAGATCGATAGAAAAATTGAAAAGAATAGGAATTGAGTTAAATTTATTGTGCAGAAATATTAATGCTAATCATTAGAACTTGTGTACATAGGCCTACATGATTGAAATTAAGATAAGTGCTTTTATGCATAGGTGTTTAAAATTAATTTATTATACGCATAATTACAATGCACATGCACTTGTTTCGGAATAAAATTTTATCACATAGTATGTTATTACTATAGTATGGTTAATTCTTTTTAGTGCTTGTGGTACAATGCCATAGAAGTCTTTTTCTGATAAATTTGTTATCCGATAAAAATAAATATTGACAAAAAAATCCAAACATTATAAAACACAACTCAGATAATCCTCTATTGTTGTAATATTGAATTTGTATAAATGATCATGATATATTTGATTAATTCAGTATACTAGAAAATGTGTCCGAACTGATATTTAATTCATAATGTACAAAAAATCTTTTAGAAGTAGAATCTTTATAAAAATGTCCATATTCCTTTGTAATTGCTTGTTTATAAGGATTAGAAATCCAGCATTTTATGCATGAAAGAAAAAACAAACCTTAGTATCAGATGCAAATTTAAAATGAACACTATTTGCAGTAACATTAATTTTATAATACAATCATCCTATTAAATTCAATTGTTTTTTTTAAATTTGATTTTTTTTAACTACATGAATCAGAATTTTACTGATTTTCGTTTAAACACATGATTTACGGTACAGATTCCAGATTTCAAAAGCATTACCAGTACCTTACTTTTGCATGACTGTATTAATTTTTTTCACCAGTACTGTGACACAGAGTGTAATAGAACTGGCACTTAAACATTTCAAATAAGTTAATATATCAAATCTCATGAATTAAAAATGAGTAGATATAAAATAAAAAAAAAATACAAATTAAATCAATGCAAATAAAATAAAAAAAAATTATTATAATATTTAGTAACAATTAATTTGAATTAATTAAAATATGAATTTATTAATAAATATTGATTTCAGTACAATTCATGAAATTGTCAGACTTTTTCTAGTGTTCATTTTAAACAGACTATAGGTCACCTGTAATTAATTTCTTTTGTTCTCTCCCTCCCCTTACCTGTACACCATTCCCACTTAGCCAAAACCAGTCACCAGTAACATTTTCAGAATTTTGGCTAAGTGGGAAGACACCAAGTATTCATAACTCTAGGTCGACAGTAGAACCGAATTACTACTTTTATATTAATTAAAATACAAGCTTCCGCATAGGGACTACATGTCCTTGTATTGGAGTATTTCTCACAAAGATGTTAATGTTGTGTCATAATTTAGTGTAATTGTATTTTTTAAGGTATAATGGGTCTTTGCTCTATCTTTTTTTTTTTTAAATAACCAAACATCGTTTATATTTATGCAAATATTCAGGATTAGTTTTTAAAGGAATTAACCATCTCGATGTGAATGTATGAACCGAGTGACTCAGGAATAAAAAAGGCGATATCTAGACGATTTTATTTTACTGTAAAACACTTGTAAATATCACAGGTTCTTGGGGGACATCCCACCCCCACCTCGTCCTCCGTACCCCAACTTGACTTATTCCTCTTCGCTCCTTGGGGAGCATAGGGCAGCAACCACACTGCGCCATCGGACTCTGTTTTGGGCTATCCCCTTTAGTTGGGTCCAGGTAAATCCAGCTTCTTTTGCTTCTGTTTCTATTGATCACCTCCAGGGTTGCCTTGGTCTCCCATTCCTCCTCCTTTCCCTGTGGATTCCAATCCAGATCCTGTTTAGTGGTGTTGTTTGAGGGTTTGCGTAAGGTGTGTCCTATTCCAGCCCCATTTCCTCTTCTTGATGTCAATATCTATAGGATTTTGGTTGGTTCTCTCCCATAGGCTGTTGTTCGATATGGTGTAAGGCCATCTGATGTTAAGAATATTGCGGAGGCATTTGTTGATAAAGGACTGTAATTTGCTGTTTATTGTTTTAGTAACTTTCCAGGTCTCGGAACCATACAAGAGAACTGCTTTAACATTTGTGTTAAAAATCCTGATTTTGCTGTTGATGGAGAGAGCTTTAGAATTCCAGATTTGTCCGAGGGTGTGGAAAGCATGTCTTGCCTTATTTATCCTGCTTTTGACGTCGTCATCTGCTCCAATCAATCAATCAATCTCTACCCAGAGTTGTCGTTCGCTTCGCTATAAGTGGAACGATTACTCTGGGTAGATATCGGTTGACAATGCTCCCAAGATAGGTTAATCTGTCAGTTTCTTTGATCTTCTCCCCATTCAACTGAATCGGTGTCTCTGTACCACAAGGGTTCTTTGAATTTTTTTTTTAAATAAATTTTTCTATCATGACATACTCACAAAGTATATAGCTTTACAACTGAAAAGTAAAAAAAAAATTAACTAGACTTTCATAAAAAAAAAAAAAAAAACTCAACTTTTAGTATCAGAGAGTATGCATTTTTTTTATAATAGGCTAGTTTTATCTTAAATTTTGGGTTTGAGTTGTACATGTAATATTCTTTGTGAGTACACAGAAAAATATCTGGGACAAAATATCTCATTTAGAAAAAAAAGATCAAAGAGGGATGCGCAAAATGGGTGGGGGTTTATCATAAATAATTGGATGCGTAAATTTTAATTGTACAATTTTCCTTGGGATAGTTTTAAAAGCACTTTTTCAGTCGGTTTTGCGAGGGCAAACGAACAATTATTTTAAGTTGGCCTTACTTGTTATGTTCCTACTTTTACCCTAAGCCAGGTTTGATTGTCGTAATCAATTAACCATTTTCTTGTTTGTCTTAGATAATTAACCAAAATGTAATATTTTTGTAAAATATGTACATTTTGAAAGGTAATTAACATAAATGTTCTTAATTCATTTCCATGATAGAAATGAGAATAAAATTTTACGACAACAGGGACCACCAAAAATGTAAACTGTCCACGTTGGGCAGACGCCGGTTTACATTTCACAGCTGGAGATCGAAAATAGAAAACCCCAGTAGACTGTTTTGATTCATAGAGGAAAGGGATGCAAACATGAAATGAGACCAAAATGTATCACAACTCCAAGAAAAAGAATGAGAGTTTTCTTATGTATTTTTATTCTTTATCAAATATCTGACTATGACAGTTATAAATGTCAAGCTAAAACAGTAGCGGGGGCATTTTCTTCAGTAGCTGCTCAGAGAGGATGGGGGCAGTACGTCACAACGTTTTGTTTTCACGGTAAATGTTTTGGTATATGATATTTTATGTCGTTAATGTATAATATTCAGGGTTAAGGGTTGCCCCTAAGAACCAGTGGTCTGAGCTAGAATTTCCCCACCCATAATGACATACCCCCATTCGGTTATACACTTAAAAGATATACCCCCTCAACCACCTATTATGTTAGAAATCCCGGTTTCTTTAATGCAACTTATCTCAGCAAGATTTTTAGAGACTAAAAATTTGAGTCTAGCTCCAGGTGTCTCTACGAATCTCAGACCTGTGTCAAATAATCTCCTTTGGGAAGTTGCGCTCGGACTTCGAACACTTGTTTCGAATAATGCATGCTGAAATGAATAAGCTGTCCGCTTCAAGTTTTTGCTTCTGAAATCCTTTTAATTAATACCCAGAATTCATGAACATTTTATCTCTTTTATTAATTCATTTAAGGAATAACTGTCTTAAGTTATTTTTCGAATTCATGAAGTGATCAATGGATTGGCTAATGGCTTGTGTGATAATTTGCATAAACGCCAAAGACGTTTATGCATAAAATTATTACACAAGCCAATCCATTGATCATCTTCATGAATTCGAAAAATCTGACAGTTATTCCTTATATTTACATGCGTTGATACCGCCAATCCACGGGCTCCAAGCCTGCTTCTCTCTAGGTGTTGTCCCGCCCTGCACATGGTTTTTTGGAACCGCGCCAAAACATTCATGAGGAAATCAATTACATTTACAATTCGTAATTTTATCTCAGACAAAGACATTGGAAATGTAAATATTATATGGTATTACTAAAATATGGTGTTGTGAAATTTTTGTGATCTACAATACTGTAATTGTTATAAGAAATGATAATTTAATTAATTAAGCTTATACAGTTGACTCTTCATTTTGTCAGTCTCAGTAAGTGTTAGTGTCTTTACATGCAACAGCAAAATTATCAATTATCTTCCATTTATAGATGCATGATCTAAATGACTTTAAATAAATTAATACAAAATAATAAAAAAATATCAGAGAATTTTGGTTGCATTTTGTTGTTTTTTTTTTTAGGGAATGCCTTGATAAATTACACCCTGGAGGTTGGAGAGGGGAACTTAGAGGAGTATAAACCCCAGTTGTTACTGTTCACAAAACAGGACTTAGAAGATCTCGAGGAGGAAGACTGTTCAGAAAAAATCAGCCGAGCCTCATTTACATGTAACATATTCTATAAAAACTTTCTGACTGTCCAAATTAAAATTAAGATTGCAATCTTCCATATGAACAGTTTAAGTAAAATGATGAACACATAAATCTTCTTAATGTAAACTTCCTTTCTAAAACATTTATTTGTAAATGACAAATTTCATATATTTTACAGTCGAGTTGAGAAATACAACAGGAAACCTGAGTGTTATTGCTCCAACCAATCCACACTTGTATCATGTCATGTATGGGGACCAGTTAACATGTCTGGATACAGACTCAAACGAGGACTCAGATTCCAGTTCGTTCAAGTTCAGAATCCAGTTGTTAAATCCAGACAGTCTGGGAAATCCAACCGAACACTTTGGAGATGACGAAACCGGTAAAATCTGCTTCTATATGACTCTATAATTATATAAGCTGGAGGCAAAGGTTAAAGTGAGAATATCTGAAGAGAGTTTTTTTTCTTTTGAGTAGACAGAACTTCAAGTTGGCCAAATTCAACATGTTCAAATTGGGACTCATCGTCAGATACCCACTTAGCTCGTCTTTTGATGAGTAAAAAACAAGATCACCCATGGGTATCCAAAGATGATTGGGGCTTTAAATTTTATATCTGTTTTCTTAAGACTCTTAAAATGTCCAGTCTATTGCATTTTGAGGAGATTTTTTTCCTCAAATTCACAAGATATAGATTTTTTTATGGGTTTTGTAAAATTCTTCTCTTAAAATATTTTTTTGTTGAATGCACATTCTCAATAATAGTCGCGATAGTTGCAAACTTAAATTACATCTTCATGATTATAAACAATGTTTTTACAGTGTACCTCGCCATCAGTATACAGATGACAGACATAAAAAGAGGGATTAGTTTCAAGTATTAAAGGAAAATTTATGTTGTACTGAATTATAAATGTTAATGAGTCGAGAATTAATGATGATAAGTTCTAGCCAGGGGATTCAAGGGATGAATTTGAAATGTTGATTTTGAAATGTAATCTACATGTATGTCCTGTAGTAATGATTAGGCTACATGAATTTAATTCTCTGGTTCTCAGGCTAATTTTCTCTGAAACAGATGCTGGAGGGAGGCATTTTATTAGCAATAAAGTAGATGAGGGAGGTGTTTTTTTTTTAATTTTAATTTTCAATTTTTCTTCAAAATAATGATAAAAATTCTTTGTTCACAGATATACTTTCTATGTCTGATAAAAATGAATAATTGATCATTTGTTTCCACAGGTCTGCTGCGGTTCTATCAGCTGCTGACCCTGGCGTACTTTGTACTTGGCTGTATATTTGCTCCGCGACTCTACGAGACTCTGAGTAAGGGGGGACCCATGCAGCTAGTGATTATACTTCTTACTGTCTCAACTTGTCTACAGGCCACAGGGACCTTTATCATGATGATACATCTGGCCAGGTATTAGTTTACATGTTCTTCATACATCATTAGGTGTTTAGAACAGATTTAGTTTAATATTATTTTATTTGAGCCAGGTTTTATTATGTGACTATCTTATAGTGATCTCCATAATCTACATGTACATGTATAGTGAAACATCAATATGGTACAGAAAAATAGGTGTCTTCCAACCTACACTGAGCCCACATACTTCATACATGTACATGTATTACATAAAAACAAAAATTCCAAAGTTAAAAAGAAACAACCATGCTGTTTTGCAGTCTGATTAAAATCAAATCTAGTCCTTTATTTTGATTGCGGCATGAAAAATCAAATTAAAAAGGAGCTTTTGAAGGATTGATTTTAAATAAGAGTGGGTTTTTTGAGGAGTCATTTGGACAAAGTTCAAACTGAAAGTTCAAGATTTATAGATATGTACAAGTAGTATTATAGCCTATCCAGAATCTACCGTATAAGTTGAAATTTTAGCAAGATGCAAATTTAGCCATTTCTGCCCAATATCTGTTTTTTTTTATTTTTAGCGAGAAGTAATTTTAGCAATTTCAAAATGCTAACTAAAGAAGCTATTACAAACAATACGTAATTAATATTTAACGATATTCAATTTCAGCGATGTCAGCGCCCTGGCTAATAATGCCAAAATTAAATCCTTGCTAAAAATTCTACTTATACGGTATAATATTTAGATTACCTGTTAGAGTCATTTTACAAAATTATTGTATGTGAAATGTAGAGTACACTGTATATAGAATCTTAGATAATCAATTTGTGTGCGAACAAGTTTTCCTTACTTGAAAAGTGATTCTGAAATAATTGTGAAAAATTACAAGATAAAGTTTTGTGAAATACTACATGTTGTAATACAAGGTAGTTATGTATATTTATATAATTATGAACAGAAATTCTTTTTTCCTTATTTTAGATATTCCAAGGATGGAATGGGATCTGCAGCCATTGAGTTCTTTGCTGAATGTGAGCCACTTTTAGAGAAAACTTCCTGCATCAATATTGATATTTTATTTAAATTAAATGTATATAGTACTCAGAACTATGTAGTAGCCCCCCACCCCTCACCCCCCTCCTTCCTGCACCAATAACATAATCCCTAAATGATACAAAGGTATTTTTTTAATCATCAGATTATTGTTTGGAACTATATTTTCAGTCCTTGGATGCATTGTCCCAGTTTGCTATGCTTTATGCTTCTGATCTTTGATGTTTTGGTGTGTTGTCCAAGTTTGTTAAGCTGTACATGCTTCTGACCTGCATAGAAATATATTAAGATGCTTCTGACCTATATTTTCAGTCTTTGATGTATTGTCCCAGTTTGCTATGCTGTACATGCTTCTGGTCTATATTTTCAGTTTTTGATGTGTTGTCCCAGTTTGCTATGCTGTACATGCTTCTGGTCTATATTTTCAGTTTTTGATGTGTTGTCCCAGTTTGCTATGCTGTACATGCTTCTGGTCTATATTTTCAGTTTTTGATGTGTTGTCCCAGTTTGCTATGCTGTACATGCTTCTGGTCTATATTTTCAGTTTTTGATGTGCTGTCCCAGTTTGCTATGCTGTACATGCTTCTGGTCTATATTTTCAGTCTTTGATGTGCTGTCCCAGTTTGCTATACTGTACATGCTTCTGACCTATATTTTCAGTCTTTGATGTGCTGTCCCAGTTTGCTATGCTGTATATGCTCCTGAGCCTCAGTCTTGGCTGGACTTTGGGCACCTCCTATAGATTTGCACACCTGCAGATGGTCAGTCGAAAACCAGCCGCTAAAGTTGTAGGCGTACTGGGAATAGTTCAGGTAAGTGTTTACATACATGACTGTCATGTGGTTTAAATAAATAATATAAATAAATATTTTTAATAATGTAAACTGTTAACTAGCTGTTTAATTTAGAAATATTGTTATTCTTGTTTATGGGCTGTTTTGTTCATATACATGTTATCATTGTACGTGTTATGTTATCATTGTACGTGTTGCTGCATGTATATCATTGTTTATGTATTTGTAAATTGTAAATTGTTTGAGAGCTGTTTTCTTTATGTGTTGGTACATGCATTTCATTGTATTAAAAATTGTGTTTTATTCATGTGAAAGTATATCATTGTAGATGTTTGTAAGGAATTTCCTCATCTGTTGGTATATCATTGTATTTGTTTGAAGGCTGTTTTGTTTGTGTGTGGGTATATCATAGTCTCTTTTTGTAGACTGTTTCATTCACATGTTGGTATTGCATGGTAATAAATTGAAGGCCAATCTGTTTGTGTGTTGTAATATTATTGGAATATCATTTTGTTTAGAGGCTGTTTTTTTTGTGTGTTGTATATACCATTGTTTTTGTTTGTAGGCTGTTTTGTTTGTGTCTGTTTATATAGCGTTGTATTTGTAGGATGTTTTGTTTGTGTTTGTTTGTATATCATTGTATCGTTTGTAGGCTGAAATGTTTGTTTATCATTGTATTTGTAGGCTGTTTTGTTTGTATTTTTTATATATCTTTGTTTTGGTTTGTAAGCTGTTTTGTTTGTGTTTGTGTTTTGTTTATATATCATTGTATTTGTTTGTAGGCTGTTTTGTTTGTGTGGGAGCAGATTCAGGACAGTGACCATAGGATGTACCATGCACATCGTAGCTTTGCAGGAATAGCCCTAGTCATTTTACGAATCCTTCTAGCAGCCTTGTTTGCATGGAATCTTAATGTTACCGTGTCATCAGAGCGCAGTGCTTTAAGACGAGAATTCTATAAATCATTTACTAAGGTACCTATTCATGTAATGATAAAACTTCTTCAAACATTATAACTGAAGGTTTATATGCTCCATGGATCTTAGCTTTACATATACATGTATAGAAATATACTAATTTTTATGTGTGCTATTAGTGGGTTTTGGTTGGGTTTTTATTACAGTTACTGTTGATTTATTTAACAAACTCTAAATATACATACAGCATAGTAAGTTTACGTACTTATTGAACATTGTTTTTATTTTTCAGAGCTGTATGCTTTGGTTTTTATGCTATCCACTTTTAGTTGTCCTATCCTGGATATTCTATGAATATCTACGTTATAAGGTATGTACAATATATAAGCTGCTATTTCTATGTTTATATAATATTCTACAAGTGCTTAAATTCATCGAGCTTATAATGTCCTTATCCAGGATTATCAAAGATTTAGAAAAATTACTTTTAAATTTTATAAACCAGCTCCTTTAGATGCTTGATTAAAGTTAAATTCATAAATTTTTCTTGTCTGTGTTCTTCCATTTTAATATTTTATTATATAACATAAATTGCCAGAACTACATTGACGTTTTCAGTTCATAGGTCCAATGTACAGAATTATGGCCCTTTGAAAACTTGAACTTGTTTTTTCTTCAAGTTTTTTTAATTTCACCTCAGGTTAAAACCTTAAATTTGTTCACAAGCATCAATAACCCCTCATGGCCATGCAGTGACAAAAATGACCTTAAACCAAATGTCTATCACAGTGTACATGTATATTGATCATGTGATTTTTCTCTGTTCCAGCTAATCACAATGGGGGTGGTATTATGTCAGTGCTGTGCCGTCGGCATGTTGTACAAATTGTTCTTCTCTAGAAGTCTGTACTGGGAAATATCTGCACTCTCCAGCACACTTCCACTGAGAATGGACAGAACTTTAGGACATAAACTGTACTCCTGACCAATCTTTTGATCATGTACTGTAGTCCTTATCACTCTGTATTTTGTCTTTCCTTCGAGAAAGACATCTTGGTTTTTTTAGCTCACCTGAGCTGAAAGCTCAAGTGAGCTTTTCTGATCACATTTTGTCCGGCGTCCATCTGTCTGTCTGTCCGTCTGTCTGTCTGTCTGTAAACTTTTCACATTTTCGACTTCTCAAGAACCGCTGAGCCAATTTCAACCAAACTTGCCACAAAGTATCCTTGGGTGAAGGGGATTCAAGTTTGTTCAATTGAAGGGCCAGGCCCTCATTCAAGGGGAGATAATTGGGAATTAATGAAAATTTGGTGACATATTTTTAGCTCTTCTGAGCCAAAGGCTCAAAGAGCTAATGCTATGGCCATTTGTGCGGTGTGCGTTAACTTTTTAGAATATGGGCCATAACTCAAGAACCCCTTGGCCAATCAGTACCAAATTTGTCACAGGGTATCCTTGGCCCAAGGGCTACCATTTATACTAAAATAAGGGTTGGGACCCTAAAACAAGGGGAGATAATCAGGAAAACAAAACCAAAAGTACTGGTTGCTAAAAAATCTTCTTCTCCAGAACCACCAGGCAGATTTTCACCAAACTTACATACAAGGATCAGGATATGTTGAAGATTAAAAATTGTTCAAGGCATGACCCTGGGGCAAAGGGCGTGGTCTCAAGGTCACTTCAAAGTTGACCTAAATTTACAATTAATAAAAACGTGTATATTTTTCTTACTATAAGGACTAGGATCATCAAATCTTGTAAGTTGATGCATCTTACGACTTCACATCATGTTAACTCAAAAGTAGGTCACGGTGACCTACTTTTAAAATTTTGTGGGGATTTGTTTTCAAATTGATTTGAAGGCATATTTTGGACACTTTAAGGCCTATGATCATCAAACTTTGTCAGTTGATGCATCTTGGGTCCTTGAACAATGTCAATTTAAAAGTAGGTCACTGTGACCTACTTTTTGAACTTTATGACTTATCCTTTTAAAAACATTAAATCCCATTATTTCAGACACTGGGAGGTTTAGAATCATCAAATCTTGTACTTTGATGCATCTTGGGACCTTAAAACATATTTATAACAAAGTAGGTCACTGTGACCTACTTTTTAAATTTTGCCGACATTTGTTTTTAAATTGTTTAAAATGCATATTTTGATTACCTTCAGACCTACGATCATCAAACTTGGTCAGTAGATGCATCTTTGGTCTTTGAAAAATGTCAACCAAAATGTAGGTCACGATGACCTACTTTCGACATTTTATTGCTATATTTCAGTATCTTAGGCATTTATTGGCGTAGAATCATCAAACTTTGTGAGTGGATGCATATTTAGTTTTCAGAGAGTGACGACCAAAAAGTAGTTCATGGTGACCTACTTATGACATTTTATGGCTTTATTTAAGTATCTCCGGTACTTATTGGCTTAGAATCATCAAACTTTGTGAGTTGATGCATCTTGGGTTTTCGGAGAGTGACGACCAAAAGTAGGTCATAGTGACCTACTTTTGACATTTTGTGGCTATAATTAAGTATCTCTGGTACTTATTGACCTAAAATCATCAAACTTTGACAGATGATGCATCTTGGGTTTTCGGAGAATGTCGACCAAAAAGTAGGTCACAGTGACCTACTTTTGAATATCTCAGGTACATATTAGCTTAGAATCATCAAACTTTGTCAGTTTAGGCACCTTGGGTTTTCGGAGAACGTCGACCAAAAGGTAGGTCACTGTGACCTACTTTTGAATATCTCAGGTACGTATTAGCTTAGAATCATCAAACTTTGTCAGTTAAGGCAGGTAGTGTAGATTCATGTTTGTTCAGATTATGACCCCCGGGGGTAGGGCGGGGCCAAAATGGCCGACCAAAGTTTTACATAGAAATATATAGGAAAATTCTTTAAAAATCTTCTTCTCAAGAATGACAGAGCCATAATTCATCATATTAATATGGAAGCATGTTCAGGTAGTGTAGATTCAAGTTTGTTCAAATCATGACCCCCCGGGGTAGGGCGGGGCAAAAATGACCAACCAAAGTTTTACATAGAAATATATAGGAAAATTCTTTAAAAATCTTCTTCTCAAGAATGACAGAGCCATAATTCATCATATTTATATGGAAGCATGTTCAGGTAGTGTAGATTCAAGTTTGTTCAAATCATGACCCCCCGGGGTAGGGCGGGGTGAAAATGACCGACCAAAGTTTTACATAGAAATATATAGGAAAATTCTTTAAAAATCTTCTTCTCAAGAATGACAAAGCCATAATTCATCATATTTATATGGAAGCATGCTCAAGTAGTGTAGATTCAGATTCATTTAAATCATGACCCCCAGGGGTAGGGCGGGGCCAAAATGGCCGACCAAAGTTTTTAAAGATATATATAGGAAAATTCTTTGAAAATCATTTTCTAAAAAATAGAAAATCCATGATTGGTCATGGGACTACTTATGGATTTAAACTTTACAATAACAAGCCATTTTCTTCTTTTTCCTACCCTTAGTGCTCAGGAGAGCGATGTGGCCCATGGGCCTCTTGTTTTTTCCTCTTGTTTGTGTTCGTGTTTTTTTTGGTCAGATTTTGTGCTTAAACTTTGTGCATGTATTTATGCTATAGAAGTATTTTTGATCAAGGGTTTTTGGTAGCATTTTATTTAAAACGAAGCTTATAATTAATTCACTTCACATTTTTCTCTTAATCTTTGTGCTTTGTTATAAAATTTTTTACCTCATTAGATACGAATACAGTTTATATAATAATTATTTGAGAAGAACAGTCTGCCAAATGTCAGATGTATACTAGCTTGAAATTTATTTTGATACATTTACAAGTTTATATATTTTCAATAATGTGTACACTTAAATTTGCAATTTAAAATGGCATTGCTTTTCTACAAGAAAGGGTATTTCTTTTAAAATAATAGTGTCTGTAGTTTTGCTACTTGATAACTTTATTAAATACATAAATGTAATTTAAATTTAATACTCAAAGTACAAACTAAATTTTCAAAACAAATATCAGAATATATATTGTATAGTTGCCTGTCCAATTTGAACAAAACATGAATACATGTAACTGTGTGCATCCCAAGGAACATTGTTTGAAAATTAATGTATATCACGGCCAAACTGAATTGATTGTTAAAGACATTCGTTGCATACTAAGAGTGTACCGGTAAATGTGTGTGTGAGAGAAGTTATGGAAATCTGAATAGTAAATGTGTGTGCTAGTTGTACACATGTGTTTGTTGTAACATTTACTTGCATTCATCATCATGATTCGAGAGACAAGTAAAATTTTAGTGGTTGTACAACATGTACAAGTCATTGTCAAACTTATGTAAAATTCAAAAAATTGAAAGAAAATAAATTTTATCATGAATCTTATTTACAGTGTACCTTGTGACTAGAATACTAATTTTTGCCCTCCCTATAATCATGTCTATATATTTGGACCAAACGAAAGGATGTCAAAGCACTGGCAGATGTAATTATCGAAGAGCTAGGTTCATTTTATGCATGAAATGGCCCTGTAGATATACTAGGTAACAATTTATTGGCTTACACTACACGTATGTTCCATTTCAAACATTAAAATGAAGTAGAGATTTTTAAGTACTTTAAAAATCCAATTCCAAAATTTTGAAATTGTCAAGTTCAGAATTTTTAAGGAAAACAGATATTTTTGAGTACATGTACTTTGAGAGAGGGAAATTAAAACGAGCATGCTCCTAGATTAAAAAAAAACATATTTTGTAATCCTCAAAAACAATTCTATCATGTTATACCGTATTAGAATTTTTAGTGAGGATTTAATTTTGGCATTATTAGCGAGGGTGCTGAGATTGCTAAAATTGAATATTGCTAAAAATTCATTGCATTTCATTTGCAATTGCTTATTTAGTGAGCATTTTGAAATTGCAAAAATTACATCTCGCTAAAAATAAAATACCAATTTTTAAGATCAAATTGCTAAATTTGCATCTTACTAAAATTTTCATTTACTTAGTATACGGTAATTGAATATTTTACTAGACCAGAGGTTGCTCTCTAATGAAATTTAACGCTTCAAAGTTTGACGGTTTTGTAAATTTTTAAAAAAGATATAAGGAAAATTATGCAGTTCATGATGTCATAATACAAATATATTGAGTAGTAAGAAAATTTTGTCATTTTTGAAAGAAATATAGACATCAATGCCATGGTCTAAAAATAAAACTAAGCAGTTTCCCTTTATCAGAAATTTGGAGGACCAAAAAAAGTCCAAAGAGATTCTTGTTCTTAAAAAAAAAAGATAAAACTCGACTGACAATCTTCTCTTTAGCTGTAATTGGTACATGTACACTTTAGCTTAATGAGAATACAAGAAATTCTAAATGCATTCTTTTAATTCAATTCTTCTTCACATTATTTCAACATACAATGTAAATTAAATTGATTGTTATTTATCATACTGTACAGACTATTATATTTTGTCCTTGTCTTAATTCTCTTGACCACTCCCTAAGATCCAACTCTTTTATGTATAAGTAGGTGCTGGATCTGTGGTATATTAATGCTTCTTTTTACCATCTCTTATCTCATCCACTTCATAAGACTTGTAACTGAAAATCCTCTCCTCAATACTAAGTCATCTCCTCAATACTAAGTCAGTTCCTCAAAAGTACATCTCCTTGATCTATCTGTGTCACCTCCTCTCATCTCTATCACCTCCTCCTGTCTCTATAATTATCACTATATCTATCCCTAGGGGACCTGTCCCTTCGATGAGGTGAATGCTCTCTGACTTGTCTAATAGGAGATCGATCTCGAGTTCTGGGCCTCGGTGAATAATCTCTTTCTCTGTCTCTTCTGTATGGAGGGGACTGCTCGCGTCTTCTTGGGGATTCCCTGTCTGTTTGTCTGGGGGGAATGTCTCTACCTCTGGGTGATCTGTCTCTATACCTATCATCTCTATACCTGTCTCTATCTAATCTTGTATCTCTATCTCTGTCTTGGTCTCTATACCTCACTGGAGATCTTTCCCTATCTTTTAGGTCTCTACCACTCTCTTTTTTCCTGTCAATTGATGACTGTTGTTTTTGATATTTACTTAGATCTTTGTTGGGTAATTCTTTTGCACCGTGAGATTTTTCACGTCTTTTTTTATTTTTGATCTTGCTAGAGTCTTCACTATCACTTTCTGACTTTTGCTTCTTTGTCTTATTTTTCTTTTTCTTCTTCTTTGCCTTTTTCTCTATAAGTATAAAAGTATCTATCATTCACCATCATTCTTTCAGTGAAGTCATGAATTGGCAGTGCATTTACTAATAGATGCAATTACATGAATCAACAATAAATATATCATTAATTGATTTTGATTGATGAATTTCTTATTGAAATGAAAGTACAGGGGTAATACATTACATGTAATCTCTTTTAATGAGAAAAGTATATGATAACCAGTTGAATATCCTGTATTTTAAGTTTTAAATTGTATCTGAATTTAGGACCAATGTCAGACAAGTTATGGTGTAAAGCTAAAAAGTTTGAAGCAGTGGACTTGATCAATGTACAAAGAACTTTACAATATGAGAACAATTTGCAAAAATTATTCATCATCTACACAAACCACACCGACAAGAACAAGAATTTTTAAAAATTTTGAGAATTTAATACATTTTTCTTTTATCCTTGAAACATTGTACCCCCTAATTCTTCTCCAAACTGCATATACATTCACCCACAGTTTGTAAGATTTTGGAAAATATCTAATTTTTCAAAAAGCAAGAGAGCACATTCAGGAGAAGTAACTCAGTAAGCCATGATCAAACTTATTATTATGGTACTAACCTTTTTTGTTTTTCTTTACTGGGATTGTATAGTCCTCTTCCTCAGAATCGCTCTCTTCTTCCTCTACTTTTGGGGCAATCCCTTCCATCCTCAGTTTCTTTGTAACTTCATCCTCATCCCCATGCTCTTTAGGGACTTTGTAATTTTCCACGTGATCTACACGGATGGTTCTTCCCAAGAGCTGCATGTATACAACATACAAACAAATGGAGGAATGACATAAATAAGTTTTAACAAAAGTCTTGTTTCAAACGAAAGTCTTCTTAAATCTTTGAGGACTCTGATTATGATTTTAAATCAGTTACACTGTAGGCAATTTTTATTTTGATGATTTAACAAATCTCTTCAGCAATATTATTAACAATTATTTTATTCTTGAAATTAAATTTCTATATATTTCATTCAATTTTTAAAAGTTTGATAAGTAAATTTGAAATTGTGATTGTGAGAAAGAGAAAAAATATCCCTGTACAGTATCTTATGAACCAACATGACCAAACCCACGTTATGTTACTTATTTATGAAATACTTTAAAATAATGTTTGTTTGCCCTCTCTTGACTCTGGGTAAAAAAATTGGATTGATAAATAGGTGGGAATATTTTTTTTCTGAAAATTATAATGTATTTGTTGATAAGATCAAGGGACAAAAGGGAAAAATTATTGTTTCCCAGGGGTTAAAAAAATTTTTAAGTCAGTCCTTTTTGAGCCAGTTGATCAGGAGAGGGCTACCAAATCATTTTTTTAAGGTGATCTAATAAATATACATGAACTTTGACTTCTCTAAAAAGCAAAACACTCAGAAGCTTTCAGCATACCTTGATTCCATTAAGATTATCAACAGCTAGTACAGTGCTTCTCTGATCTTCGTAACATATGAAGCAGAAGCCACGAGACTTCCCAGTCTTCCCATCTCTCACTAAGTTGATATTCACTAATTCTCCATATCTTACAGAAAATAAAACAAAATGTTTTACTTTAGACATACATGCTCAAGGACACTTGTAAATAACCACATATTTATGATAAAAAAAATCAATGCACTGTGGTTTCATCAATATTCGTTGAGCACCAGTTTTCAAGGATTTCATTGTTGGGCAGATCCATAAATTTAAATGTTCATTGAATTAAAAATATGTTATTCACTAGTATAGGCACTGCTTTTGTCCACGAAAATATGTATCCTCGAAAACATCTGTTTTAAAAATACACGAAAATTGATACCAACAAAAGCTGATGAAACCACAGTATGTTTCAGTTGAAGTAACTGCTTAATACTAGGGCTGTCACGGTTCCGAAATTTTTCGGGTCGGGTCGGTTCTGATTTTTTGAGGTTCGGATTCGGGTTTCTCGGGTCGGGTAGGTAACTGAAGAAAAGCTCATGATTTGTATTATTTTCAACAATAAAAAGAATATTCTCATTTAATTTTAGAAATAGCAATTAATTTAATAACTAGTTTAAGGTAGCCTCCTGACTAGACAACAACTGTACCAAATTATTTAAATCACCTTTCAGGGTTTCAGATTGAAATAAGTAACTATAGGACATCTGGCATATTTACCAGAAAAGTTATAGGCCATTCTGTCCTAAACTTCCTAACACTATAGGCCAATAGAAAAGTTAAACTAACTCAGATTTCTGTCAGACCTTTACAAAATAGTCATTTTATTACATAAATATTCATATATTAATTTTCCTTTTAATAAGGTGGAAATATTATTTTGTTTCTTTTAAACAAAATTAATATATTGAAACAGAATGGGAATTGTTTTTTTTTTTAATTCCATTCTCAATGGGTACTTAAACTTATATTAGTTCCACCTTTCATTACATGTAAATGTATTTATTTCTTGGGATTACAATTTTTAAAAATAGTAATCCAAAAATTTTTATCTCTGATGATATTCAATGTATAATTACGTTTAAAGATTACCTAGACTATTTTTTTCCCCTTAGGAAAACCTTGCAACATTGTCCGTTTCCTGATATTAGTCCGACCCCATATTCAATCATGGCGGCAAAAATAACAACATGGCATGGATTCCTTAGATGTTTTAAACATTCATCACTACTTAATGCTTCTTGCAGTTGAGTTTGGAAATAAAATTATAGAGTATTTTGCCAAGATCTATTTATAACAAAATATCATTGGCTGATTGAATCGACATTTGCAGAAAGTAGAGAAAAACAATGGGATCTGAATAGAGGAAAAATTATACGACTGGCCTTTACATATAGAAGATAATCGGCCATTGTGTCTGTTCATAAACTTTCATTGGCAAATGGCCGACGCCAATCTGAAACCCTGCCTTTTTAATGACAATTTACTAACAAAACTCGTTTTTGACACCATTTTATAGTAAAATCTACTCTATTATACAAATCGGGGAATTCCACAAAAACCCGTAGGTTAATTGTTCCCGGTTCTTATTTCGGGTACCCGTGACAGCCCTACTTAATACATATAATAATATATAATTTTAATATGAAGTCTATTTACAATAACATTGATTATTAGTATATGAATATTAACAGCCATTAATAATCATTACTAACTGTGAGAACACTGCTATGACATCTCCTTCAGTCAGGTCATAGGGAAGACCTCCAATAAAGATCCACGCACTGTCTTTGTACTGGTCATGCCACGATTTCTTCCCCACCAGACCTAATTCTAGTTCCCTCTCGTTCATCTTCTGAACATTTTTTATGTTTCTGTTAAACAAATTCCATAGATTTTAGCAGTGGATTTGATGAATATTTCTTTGAATAAATAACTAAAATCAATTTTACATTAGATTTTTAACACCAAAATGCCTACTAAGACTAAGAATCGAAAATTTTAACTTTGAAAATAATTGTGAATTCTAGGCACAAATTGATCAGTTGCAGATTTTAATTGATGTCTTGCCCATAAATGTATTTTCTATACTCGGTCTTCACTACATAGCATTTAAATAAAAAAAAATAAAGATACAAGCGCAAGTTAAATTTTATTTCGAATTTCTTCTGAATTCGTAAACAACCCTGCCATTCGCTGATCAAATTTCACAATCTATTAATGATAGAAATTAATTAAAATAAATAATTCCTTTATAACAAATGTTATATAAAGTTTAATTACGTTAGAGGATTCATGATGCCAAGCAGCAAAACGTTTTTCCTTCCCAAACGTTGTTTTTTTTCTGATCCACTTGGTGACTTCCGGTTTTCGGGTGTAAGACAAGTCGTGCGTTTTTTAATTTATTTTGGACGGTGTAATCTGAGTCTTCGTAGGGTAACCTTGTTGAGTTTTCAACATCACATGTATTCTACATATATTTCAAGTGTTAAAGTAATTTTGATAATATGCAATGAAAACATGTATCCACTTTCTCTCATTCCTGCAGTTTTTATGTGGCATCTGACAGTGTGGACAGAATGCTGAATATTTATATAATTTATTTTATTTCAAACAGCTTTCAATTTTTCAATTAAAATTGTTTTTAACACAAACGTGATCACACATTAAACTTGAGATATAATTTATTTTATTTTAAACAGTTTTTCATTCTATGCCTTTTCCCCAAGATTTTATTCAAAACATAAACTTATGTGTTTCCATTTAATACCAAAGTTACATTTTGATTTGAAGTCAGCATTTGGTAAATTTTATGACGGCCTTGTAAGCAAAATTAATGTAACCCTTTTTAATTGGTCTTATTTTGGATGAAATTGTTTCATATCATTTGTAAGGCCTTTTTGCACTAAGTTTGACTATATACGGAATGTCGCATACTTGGTGGATATATATCAATATATATAGGGATGAAGACGGATGTGACTAGTAAACAAGGCATCTTTACTCCTCTTGGGCATCTGATTCCATTTGTTTAATATCAAGTGATCGTTTGTACTAAGTTGACAACGGAATGTTCCGTCTAATTGATCAATACATACATAGGGCTGACAGCGGGTGTCACTAGTCAACAGCTAGACCGGGATCCTTACTCCTCTTCGGCTCCTGATTCCACCTTTGGAATTTCTGGGGGTCTGTGTTAATTTGTTTGTTTTTTTCATGTTTGTTTGTTTGTTTGTTTTGAACATATTTTATTGACAACATGATATCATTGAATCGTTTGTTCATTATCTTCACTTTTTTATGCGCCCGGAGCGATAAATCGGGGCGTATATTGTTTTATTTTGGTCTGTCCGTTTCTCTCTCTGTCTGTCTGTTGTCAACTCTAACCTTCGCCATGACTTTTGAACCGTGAGAGATAGAGACTTCATATTTGGTAAGCTTACTCCACTGTTTAAGATTTCAAATGACACCAAGGTCAATGACCTTGAGACCTTGACTGGGACCTATATGCTAAAAATAGCTTTCTCGACTTATGCCATACTTTTTGAACCATAGGAAATAGAGGCTTCATATTAAGCATACTCCACTAATTAAGTTCTTTCAAATGACATCAAGGTCAATGACCTTGTGACTTTGACTGTGACCTATATGCTAAAAATAGCTTTATCGAATTTTGTTGCCACCGGACGCATAGTGTTTCACAAACACATCCTGTTCACTGTTAAAATGTGTGTATAATTATACATGTATCTTCCCTTTACCTCTTTTGAAAGAATAAATCAATGATGAATACTTTTTTTTTACTTTTAATCAATAAATCTAACCATCTGTCATGAAAATATGATTGTAATGCTTTAAACCACAGTTGACGGTATAGATTACCAAAATTTTTTACAAACGTCATCCTCGTTCGATCAATGTTAAGTTTATTGCTGGTACAATGTGGTAATACAAGACATAAATATAAATGAAATTTGTATCCATAAATTATCGAATAAGTTATTATAAATCAAAACAAAACAACTCGAAACATATTAAGAAATCTTCAACAGATACAGTTGGTCAAAAATTGAACCTGAAAGACTAACAGGAAACTCTCAAGCTTAAGGTAAAACAGAACGCTTAAATAAACTACAAACTATTTTTAAAATTTTGACGTTGTGGTTTCTTTGAGAGACGTTAAATGTACGTTTTCTTTGTTCAAATGTACCCGTGTCTGTCTGCCAGATGTACTTATTTCCTTTTTTTTCGAAATATATAAAATTTAATGCTGATGTAATTTCATGAACAAATAATTTATGACATGTTATTTAAGATATTTTTTGCGGCATAAACCGTTGAAACTCTCAAAGTATGCCTATTTTTAATTTTGAAACCTAGCAGAAGTAATGAAAATAACCAAAATCTCGATTATAACAATTAATGTTGCCTTTGGAAAGTCTTTCCTTGACTGTTTGTTTGAACTTAAAAGTTCTTCAATAGAAATTAGAAAGTAACTGAGAGCCTATATATATTGATCTTCATTATTGCCATTTTTTTGGTTTTGCCCTTCCAGATTAAAAAAAAAGATTTTTCTTTTCTACGGTCATACCAACAAAGTTGAGTTGGTGACATTGTTTTTGCTAGACTAAAAATTTTGGCTGTAAGATTTTAAATTAAACTAAATACAAAAATGATAATCACCCGAAAGAATTCAGACAAAATGTTTTCATTTAAATAGATCTATAAATTTATCATTTTTTTGTAAATTAGAATTTCAATTTAGATAGAGAAACATTAATTTATCTGAATAGAGTTGTATCTTTAAAAAAGTAGATATTAATGTTTTTGGCCAAACCAAGACAGGGTATAAGTATTGCCTACTTTAGGAAACAGTATTTTAAACTTGGAAAGGACATAGACAGAAAGAAAGACTGACTGACAGACAACAAGATAATAACCGCATCAGTATCCTATCAAATACACCCTTCCCCTATATATACAGTCTCTCTGTTTACCAATAAATATTAATTTAGAAAAAGTTTTCTAGTTTTCCATCCAATTGTTGTCAAAAAATGTAAGATTTTTATTTACAGTGTTTATTGTTACAAGAAGAAATATTCTAAGTTTATATCACCTTTGAAAATGAACAGTATTTGGAATCTAGCCCCTCTAAACAATGAAAATAAAATAAAAATAATTGAAAGCACTGTTTCCAGAATGATGCTCATATACAAGCTGAACTAAATTAAGATTTCAAAGATAGATAAATAAAATTATAGACAGCAAACAGTGAATTTAAAAAGTAAAAAAAAAAAACAATATACAGAGGCCACTTTTTTCTATTGAAATAATTATTTATTGTAATCAGCACGTGTGTATAAACATTATTATTGTGCAGATGAACGAGTATACTACAAAATAAATTAAATAACTTTGCCAGTTTGAAGAGCAAGTCAGTAAATATGCTTTATTGCTCATAAAACAAATTCATCACGTGAGACCAAAACTAAGAAACGCAACACCTCACACAAACAGGCTTCACACACGCGCATTCACTTCCAAACTCAGTCACTACTACACCTAAATAAACAACTATTCCATTAAGTTAAACCTATAGAAATAAATAATAACAATGTCCTAACAAGGTATAGACCAATTAGATGCAAACATATCCTTGTAAATGAGTTTGTATAAATGGAGCAGCAGGAGTTACGGTCCGTGGTATTTGAATAGTGGGCAGCACTGTAGTTGTGTCGTGACGGAAAATGACGAAGACATTTTGCATTATTTTCGTCTGTTAAATAACACTGTTTGTAACATTGCTCCGAAAGACTTGGCACCATATCCGATGATGGATCTATAAAGAAGAAAAATTTTAATTTTACAAAAAAGAGACAGATTTTGTAGAAAGAACACAGGCTACCCAAACATCGAACATAATTGTAAATTTATTTTTAGCAAAACTACAAGTACGACATAAAAATGCCTCTGAATGTCTTCTAAACAAATGTAATTTATAACAGGACTTGCAGAAATAAATGAACATGTTGTCATTTTATTAACAAGTACGAAATAAAATACATATATATACTAAGGTTCAAGAACGAGACCGAAGAAAAAATTCAAATTAGAATGAGTCAGTGGGAAGACAGAGATGTCGAGGACTTAGTCAGGGGATATCAGGGAAATGACAGAGACTTAGTCAAGGGATATCAGGGTGTTGACAGTGACGTCAGGGACTTAGTCAGGGGATATCAGGATGTTGACAGTGACGTCAGGGACTTAGTCAGGGGATATCAGGGTGTTGACAGTGACGTCAAGGACTTAGTCAGGGGATATCAGGGTGTTGGCAGAAACGTCAGGGACTTAGTCAGGGGATATCAGGGTGTTGACAGTGACGTCAGGGGCTTAGTCAGGGGATATCAGGGAGCTGTTAGGGATTTAATCAGGGGATATCAGGGAGTTGTCAGGGACTTAGTCAGGGGCTATCAGGGAGTTGTCAGGGGCTTCGTCAGGGAATATCAGGGAATTGTCAGGGATTTAATCAGGGGATATCAGGGAGTTGACAGTGACATCAGGGACTTAGTCAGGGGATATCAGGGACTTAGTTAGATGGTATCAGGGAGTTGACAGAGACGTCAGGGACTTAGGCAGGGGATATCAAGGATTTGACAGGGACGTCATAAAATTAGTCAGGGGACGACAGGGAGTTGACAGTAACGCCAAGGATCAGGGAGTTGACAGAGACGGAAGGGATTTAGTCAGGCGGTACTAGGGAGTTGACAGAAACGTCAGAGAATGCAAATGGGATAGAGAGCGATGTCGGGAACAAAGACAGGGATTAATAGTGGGATGTCAGGGCGAGACAGAAAAGCGTTATGAATTGACAGAGGAACGTCAGGGGATTTTTTTCAGTCGTATGAGGAAAATCATTACAGCATTAAAAATATCAGCTATCTAAATTGAAAGAAAATTGATTACGTTGATTTAACTATAAAGAATACTAAAAGTACGATATAATATATATACTGTTTAAAACCAGAAATTTTGTTGAAAAGTTTTCTTGGTATATTTGGTTGAGACTGAAGAATTCAGAGTATGATCTAATCTTGAAAGATTTTTGGGTTTCCTTTATACAAAAAAAAACTCATCTAAACTGAGGGTCCAGTGGCGTAGCATTGTTTTTGAAAGTGGAGGGGGGGGGGGGGCATAGAATTTTTTTCGACTTACCTGAAAAATTCTTGACAAGCAAAAGAAAAAAGGAAAATTGTCCAAATTTTTCTTTCCATTCTTAATTTAACTGTACTGCAACAAAAGTAGGGTTGAGGGTTGCAACCGGACTCTCAAATGAACATTTACTATAATAGAACAAAGTTATGTCTGGAAAAAAGGAGGGGGCAGACCCTCCTCCGCTCACCCCTGATACTACGTGCCTGGGGCCAAATAATAATTTCTAAAAGAGCTAATAAACAAATACTAATCATTCATCATTTTACTTCTGATGTCGAAGCTGCAAGCCAGCAATCGTTAGTGCACGGAGAGTTACCCACCTTTGCATATAAAACTAGGTTCCCCTGCATAAGTTGACTCGGTCAGAGGCTTGAGAAATGGACACTGTTTTTCTACTCCTGAGCAGAAATCATCACAGGGAGGTAACGGGGAGGGGGAGAGCCGGCTATACACGGGAATATGTTGTGAGCATAACCAGAACTTGTAAGCCTCCTGAAATACAATAGAAAAATTGATGAGAAAAAAGTTGAAAGTTGTACAAAAATGGGTGTTCAAACACGAATGAGTCAAACTTGTGTAGGGTTTTCAACTCTTGCTGTTATAATACTTTTTGAAATAGTTTTTGGGTATGTGGATATGGGAGGGTGTCAAATAACAATTATCAATTGAAATACTCGAAACATATTTCAAGTACCGAATCCATAATAGAGCCATTATAAATGTAAATTGCCCAAAATAACAGTGGCACGGACAATTTCGGACTTGTCATATTCCCTCTAAGGTTACCTGATGCACCCTAACAAAAAAATACTATAGTTAACCATAGTAAACTATAGTTTACTATAGTTAACTATAGTGATAACTTTGACACTTTGAAAACTTTGATTTACTATAGTGATAACTTAGACACTTTGAAAAACTTTGACGAAAACTTTGACACTTTGAAAAACTTTGACGAAAACTTTGACACTTTGAAAAACTTTGACGAAAACTTTGACACTTTGAAAAACTTTGACGAAAACTTTGACACTTGGGTTTTGAAAAACTTTGACGAAAACTTTGACACTTTGAAAAACTTTGGCGAAAACTTTGACACTTTGAAAAACTTTGGCGAAAACTTTGACACTTTGAAAAACTTTGGCGAAAACTTTGACACTTTGAAAAACTTTGACAAAAACTTTGACACTTTGAAAAACTTTGACGAAAACTTTGACACTTTGAAAAACTTTGGCGAAAACTTTGACACTTTGAAAAACTTTGGCGAAAACTTTGACACTTTGAAAAACTTTGACGAAAACTCTGACACTTTGAAAAACTTTGACGAAAACTTTGACACTTTGAAAAACTTTATTGAAAACTTTGATACTTTGAAAAACTTTATTGAAAACTTTGATACTTCAAAAAACTTTATCGAAAACTTGGATACTTCGAAAAACTTTATCGAAAACTTGGATGCTTTAAAACTTTGAAAAAGTTTATTGAAAACTTAGACACTTTAAAAAACTTTATTGAAAACTTTGATTCTTTGAGAAACTTTATCGAAAACTTTGAAACTTTGAAAAACATTATCCAAGTCTTTGATACTTTGTAAAACTTAATCGAAAACTTGAATACTTTGAAAAACTTTATCAAAAAATTAAACACTTTGAAAAACTTTGTCAAAAACTTGGATACTTTAACACTTCGAAAAACTTTATAAAAATACTTTGACACTTTAAAAACTTTATCGAAAACTTTGAAAATTTCAAAAACTTTTTCGAAAACTTTGAAAATTTCAAAAACTTTATCTAAAACATGGATACTTTAACACATAGAAAAATTTTATCGCCAACTTTGACACTTTTAAAAAACTTTATCGCCAACTTTGAAAATTTAAAAAACTTTATTGAAAACTTGGGATGCTTTGAAAAACTTTATCGAAAAGTTTGATACTTTGAAAAACTTTATCGAAAACTTTGACACTTTGAGAAACTTTATCGAAAACTTTGACACTTTGAAAAACTGTGGCGAAAACTTTGACACTTTGAAAAACTTTGGCGAAAACTTTGACACTTTGAAAAACTTTGACGAAAACTTTGACACTTTGAAAAATTTTGGCAAAAACTTTGACACTTTGAAAAACTTTGACGAAAACTTTGACACTTTGAAAAACTTTGACGAAAACTTTGACACTTTGAAAAACTTTGGCGAAAACTTTGACACTTTGAAAAACTTTGGCGAAAACTTTGACACTTTGAAAAACTTTGACAAAAACTTTGACACTTTGAAAAACTTTGGCGAAAACTTTGACACTTTGAAAAACTTTGGCGAAAACTTTGACACTTTGAAAAACTTTGGCGAAAACTTTGACACTTTGAAAAACTTTGGCGAAAACTCTGACACTTTGAAAAACTTTGGCGAAAACTTTGACACTTTGAAAAACTTTGGCGAAAACTTTGACACTTTGAAAAACTTTGGCGAAAACTTTGACACTTTGAAAAACTTTGACAAAAACTTTGACACTTTGAAAAACTTTGGCGAAAACTTTGACACTTTGATTTACTATAGTTAACTATAGTAAACTATAGTTAACTATAGTTAACTATAGTTAACTATAGTATTTTTTTGTTAGGGCACCTTGGGATTTTTTAATGGTGGGGCTGATTTGTCATTTACGTAAAGAGAACTCAGCTCTTTTTTTTGTAGTATTGTAAACGTATTTTTTCTACGGTGTAATAATTCCGCGGAATCTCAATTTCTGTTTAATCCGCGTGTAGAAAATTAAGCGGATTTCCTAGACTGTCACTATATGCCTTACATTTATATTAAGCTTAAGTACGCTTGGACAAATTTACGCGGAAAATTTGTACCAAGCGATCGAAAAAAGTACTTAAGTACTTTTACAGTATATTTAATATAAAGTGGCAAAGAAGAATACAAAAGGGATACGTTTATACTTAAATTCACCTACGAAAAAAATATATACTTGATAAAAATGCTTATCAATCAGACTGTTTGCATTTTATATACTACTACTAGTATATAACTGAAGGACATTTTTTCTCAAGTCTCGAGAAAAACTAGAAAATCCTCGAGTCAAATCCTCTTTTTTACTGTAAAAATGCGGTTGAACAAGGTTGATCATGTTCATACAACCAAATATCTACTACACTGAGAATTATTAGAAAAATAGAATTGCTCTAACGAAGAATACACAAATTTACAAATGAACTTTTTGACCTTATCCTTCCCCTGAACGAGAAAACTAAATATTGGCTTCTATTTTAATTACTAGTATCTCATAAGAGGCTGCCTGCATATCAATCTGACGACTAGCAGCTGTCTAGTTTTAGGATGAGTTTTACAGATTTTTTATGTATTTCTTACATTTTTAAATTCAACAGCTGATTCCGAGGCCAAATTCCAATTAGCTGTGCTATCATCTGAGGATGCTTGCACTTTTATTTGTTTCCACTTTACAAAGCGAAAAAAAAAACTTGAATGGCTTTTACTATTAAAGTTTGCAAAAACTTCGAGGCCCTAAAATCATAATTGACTAAATAAACTTTAGAATGAAATGGTTAAAATAAAAAGACTTTAAGTTACATGTACACAATACATTTTCATATCAGTTACTTAAACAGTCAAGCCACGTTAATCCGCACACATATGAACCCTATAATTAATCGTCCCGAATAATGAAGCGTCCAAATTATTAAAACATGCGCAATCTTGGTAAATATAAACTGCAGCGCAAGAATTTGTCCGGAAAGTCTAATATACGCATTATTGGTGTCAGGGATGTTTGACTCCGTGTGTGTGAAACACTTGTGCCCCCGTATGACAGCTTATGAAGAAGGTTAATCAAAAGTTTCTCAAATTAAGTCAAACTTCAAGGCCAAGCGTGAAAAAAAGGACTTGTGTCAATGAATATATCTGGGAAAGATGAAAGCTCAATGACGCAACAACCATTCAAATGTTATGATCAAAGGTTAATGTTTTCTTAAAGTGGGTCGAACTTAAAGGTCAAGGTCAAATATGTTTACACTGGGAAGATTTCGTCGTTTGTATTTAACCCCAAAGATCCCTCAAAATGTATATTCTCAATTATATACATGTAGTGCATGCATGCAACACTCTTAAACACTCCCTTCATCCCATTCCCATGCAAACACACACATACACCCTGTACAGACAAAGCTTTCATATGACCATAGGGGTGTGACGGTGTGCCATGACGTTGAGACAACTGAAGGTCATTTTGGCAGTTCAAGGTCATCCTGATCATATTTGCGACGAAGTAGTATTGGAAGCCCAACATTGGCACAGGAATTTCAGGTGACCCGAGGCGTTACATGTAGATTCGAAATACATGGACATGTAATTGAGACAAGTTCAGTGTCATTTGCAAATATGACCCTGAACATAACTATGCGGTAAAGAAATAAGTTGAAGGACCTTACAACTTGCCACATTAAATTGGTAATTTGTTCTCTCAAAGTACTTTCACTTTTGCATGTATATACCGGTATGTAGTTCAAATAGATACATTTTTTTCATAACAATGGAGAAAATGGTTCATGATATAGAACTTTCTTGAATGTTTTTGTTCATATTTGATGGTACCATGTATTTTTTATTGAAACATAGACACACAAAATTTAAATATTAGTACACGTTAGCTTCAAACTTCCAAAAATATATAAGCACGTTCGTATATAGAGGGTTAATTATCGAACTTTATAAACTCCTGGAACACAAAAAATTCTTTAAGAGGATAAGCCGAAGGAATTCAGTTGATGCATGCAGTCAATAAAGGTCTTACATAAAAAAATCATAATTTGCAAAACGAGGGTTGAATTCTTTCAAATGCATGATTGTCAAACTCCAAACTTTAAGGGTAAGGTCAAAAGGGTTGATACCCAAAGGAAGTTCTTGTTAAAAGGAATACACCTGTGAAATATGAAAGCCCTATTTTGAACTGTTCAATAGATATGACCAAGCTTAAAGTTTTTTTTTCTAAAAGTTGATCAAACTCTTAGGTCAAGGTCAAAATATTTATACCAGCTGAAAGTTCTTGTAACAATAAATACACATATGTAGTATAAAGCCCTAGCTCCAAATGTTCAAAAGTTATGGCCAAGGTTAACATGGTTAAAATGTGTTAAATTTGGTAAAAGTAGGTCAAACTCCAAGGACAAGAGGTCAAATATGGTGGTCCCCAAAGAAAGATCTTGTCACTAGAAATGCACCTGTGAAATATGAAAGCAATAGAACCCACCCAATCAATAGTTATGGACTAGGTTAAAGTTGACAACAGACAGACAGAAAACAAACAGACAGACAGGACAAAAACAACAAACCCCTGGGATCTTTCGACCCAGGGGCATTAAAGCCCTATGTAGCCATTTAATTTGATTAATAGTACGAGCTACATGTAGTACTTTATACATGTACTGTAACACCATAAATGGAAAATAGAACACTTGAAGCAAAGTTCCCAATATGATTTC